ATTGATGCACAATAAATGCATCGATTGTACGCATGTGCGCACAGAGTAATTTTTAATTTGTTATTAAACATAAAACCAAGCGGTTGTAAACTGATGTAAAAACGGATCTAGATGGATGAAAAAGCGGATAAAGGCAGAAGAAAGCAGATAAAGGCAGATGCAAAACGGAACGAAACGGAACTGAAATACAAACAGACGTAGACTGATGTAAACTGTTCTGAGCTGAACGGAAGACTGATGCATAAATGGATGTAAACTGATCTCAAATTAATCCATTTTCCTCCAAAAAAAAAAGGGACTAAAAAGATGAAGTCCATGTGAAAGAGGCCTTAAAACCTTTGATTTTTTACCTTATTATTATTATTACCTTAGTTGGAAGCATTGTTCTGAATATGGATTCACTTTTCTAAACCAGTATTCACAAATGTAGTTTATTTAGTAAGCACAATTCAGTCCTTGGTGAATGTATAGACATGTTTAGTGTAAGAACTAGTTACTTAGGTCTGAGTAAGGTGAACTTGTTTTTCAAGTTCAAGCTTATGAGTAAGCATGCATTAAGTAAGCTTTCTTTGAGTACGTAAAAGTGTACTTTGCTAATTACTGACCCTCCAACATGAATCATTGTATAAGGAAGAAAATATTCTGTTCCTAAACGTGTCCACTTCTCTGAGTAGCATCACCAGGATTTAGGGTGCACATAAATATTAGATAACTAGAAGATTAAATGTATGGTCTGGGGTTCCCAAAGCAGTTTGCACTTCCACTTGATGGTGTGGAAGTGGTGAGCACCAAAATGTTCTGATAACGTGTATGATTGTAGGAGTATTTCAAATAATATTCAGTCCACATATCAAGAACAAACAACCTTCTGTTATTTTCCAGAGACTATAGCATGTATTGGATTCCAGAACCAAATGACCAAGTTCACCAGAGTATGCACAAAATATTAGAACAATGATATTTTAGTAAGAATATTGGAAATTTACAGTATGTCCAATCTATATACGAATCTATGTGTTTTCTTTTACAAAGGATTTTATTATAGAACAGGAAACAGCAGAGCATCAGTCAAGAACATATACAATGACCAGCAGTAATATAACATACAAAAGATTCGATGGATAATACAGAATATGTACTGATGAGAAAACATGAAAATAAACTGCATACATAAGTGCCGTACAGAAAGAAAAGACAATAAATTGCAAAAATGATAGACATTAGAGACTAATAACATAATAAACCCTCAGGAAAAATTGTTGCAAAATCAACATACAGAATGCGAGATAAATAGGAGAAAGAGCCTCTCTGAGTACAGAGAGGTACTTAACACGCAGAGCTCTCAAAGGAGTCCGGCCCATGGGTGCAGTATTGCTGGTACGGGACTCAAAACAAGAATCACAATTAGAGATGAGCGAATCGAACATGGCGAAGTGGAATTCGTTTCGAATATTGGGAAATATTCGATTTGCGCCGAATCCGAAAATTAGCCAACTTCGGATGCACGAATCGAATTTTCCCAAAAATGGCGGCGACATGTGTGGCGACGGAGCGGGGATCTCTGGGAAGGCGCGCAGACAAGGCGCGCTGACCCATAATGCATTCATTCATGACATGTGATCGCATTAGCCAATCAGCAGCCAGCCAGCCAGCACTGTGTAATGGTGGAGCTATAAATTGCGGCCATCTTACAATTCTCCATTAGCCTGCGGTCATTCAAGAGAGACAGACCTGTCTGTAACTTAGGGACAGAGTAGGGCCAGAGAGACTTTAGGGCCACAGAATCGTTACTTAGGGACACAGAATCGTTACTTAGGGACACAGAATCGTTACTCAGGACACAGAATTGTTAATCAGGGACACAGAATTGTTACTCAGGGACAGACACAGAATTGTTACTGAGGGACACAGAATTGTTACTGAGGGACACAGAATTGTTACTCAGGGACACAGAATTGTTACTCAGGGACAGACACAGAATTGTTACTGAGGGACACAGAATTGTTACTGAGGGACACAGAATTGTTACTGAGGGTCACAGAATTGTTACTGAGGGACACAGAATTGTTACTCAGGGACACAGAATTGTTACTCAGGGACACAGAATTGTTACTCAGGGACAGACACAGAATTGTTACTGAGGGACACAGAATTGTTACTCAGGGACACAGAATTGTTACTCAGGGACACAGAATTGTTACTGAGGGACAGACACAGAATTGTTACTGAGGGACACAGAATTGTTACTGAGGGACACAGAATTGTTACTGAGGGACACAGAATTGTTACTCAGGGACACAGAATTGTTACTCAGGGACAGACACAGAATTGTTACTGAGGGACACAGAATTGTTACTGAGGGACACAGAATTGTTACTGAGGGACACAGAATTGTTACTCAGGGACACAGAATTGTTACTGAGGGACACAGAATTGTTACTGAGGGACACAGAATTGTTACTCAGGGACAGGGACACAGAATTGTTACTCAGGGACACAGAATTGTTACTCAGGGACACAGAATTGTTACTGAGGGACACAGAATTGTTACTCAGGGACAGACACAGAATTGTTACTCAGGGGGACACAGAATTGTTACTCAGGGACACAGAATTGTTACTCAGGGACAGACACAGAATTGTTACTGAGGGACACAGAATTGTTACTGAGGGACACAGAATTGTTACTCAGGGACACAGAATTGTTACTCAGGGACACAGAATTGTTACTCAGGGACACAGACACAGAATTGTTACTGAGGGACACAGAATTGTTACTGAGGGACACAGAATTGTTACTCAGGGGACACAGAATTGTTACTCAGGGACACAGAATTGTTACTCAGGGACAGACACAGAATTGTTACTGAGGGACACAGAATTGTTACTGAGGGACACAGAATTGTTACTCAGGGACAGACACAGAATTGTTACTGAGGGACAGAATTGTTACTGAGGGACACAGAATTGTTACTCAGGGACACAGAATTGTTACTCAGGGACACAGAATTATTACTCAGGGACAGACACAGAATTGTTACTCAGGGACACAGAATTGTTACTCAGGGACACAGAATTGTTACTCAGGGGACAGACACAGAATTGTTACTCAGGGACACAGAATTGTTACTCAGGGACACAGAATTGTTACTCAGGGACAGATACAGAATTGTTACTCAGGGACATGGAATTGTTACTCAGGGACACAGAATTGTTACTGAGGGACACAGAATTGTTACTCAGGGACAGACACAGAATTGTTACTCAGGGACAGACACAGAATTGTTACTCAGGGACACAGAATTGTTACTCAGGGACACAGAATTGTTACTCAGGGACAGACACAGAATTGTTACTCAGGGACACAGAATTGTTACTCAGGGACACAGAATTGTTACTGAGGGACACAGAATCGTCACTGAGGGACACAGAATTGTTACTCAGGGACACAGAATTGTTACTCAGGGACACAGAATTGTTACTCAGGGACACAGAATCGTTGAATTAAAGAGTATGTCAGACAACACGCGAGGAGTGGCAGAGGAGGCAAATGTTTCAGGAGCGAGCAGACGTGGCAGCAGAGGAAGGGGTCGAGGCAGCACTAGTCGCAGCCAGAGGCCAGTGCTCCCGGTGTCATCCAGCGGTCGTGTCTCCACCAACAACCCTGCCGTCATCGATTGGTTGGCTCGGTCGTCTTCCTCTTCCCAGGTCACCTCTGACACCTACAGCCAACGGTCGGTGGGTACGTCAGACACAACCGTTAGTTGGCATGGCCCGGGAGCAAGCCCACTGAAATCACGTGTCCTCTACCTGCCCCTGTCCTTTGGTGTTCCCTCACCAAGCGAAGTATCGCATGCTGTGGGCTCAGCCCCACTGTACAGTGAGGAAGAGCTAACAGAGGGCGGTCAGGAACGGGGGGAGACACCCGCCTCTTCAGCAGCCAGGCGAAGAAGTACTGGCGAGGAGAGTGGCTCGGTAGCCGGTCTAGAGACAGGTCTGTCTCCTGACCCACACGCAGCCGAGGGGGCTAGTAGTGAGGCGGAGACCCTAATTGATGATGATGAGGCTGATCGCACTTGGCAGCCTCGTCGTCATCTGCCAGGCCCGTAATCTGCCATGGGCCCCCGTACCGCCTCCTCATGCTGCTGCCAGGTCCGTAATCTGTCATGGGCCCCTGTACCGCCTCCTCATGCTGCTGCCAGGTCCAGAGTGTGTCATGGGTCCCTGTACGGCCTCCCATTGCTGCTGTCTCCATCGCCACACTCTGCCATGTGCCACTTTCAGGTCTCCTCACACTGCTGGTGGGTTCCATTTTGTCATAGGGTGCTGGCAGATTACGGGCCTCCCATTGCTGCTGCCAGGCCCGTAATCTGTCATGGGCCCCTGTACCGCCTCCTCATGCTGCTGCCAGGCCCGTAATCTGTCATGGGTCCCTGTACGGCCTCCCATTGCTTCTGTCTCCATCGCCACACTCTGCCATGTGCCACTTTCAGGTCTCCTCACACTGCTGGTGGGTTCCATTTTGTCATAGGGTGCTGGCAGATTACGGGCCTCCCATTGCTGCTGCCAGGCCCGTAATCTGCCATGGGCCCCTGTACCGCCTCCTCATGCTGCTGCCAGGCCCGTAATCTGTCATGGGTCCCTGTACGGCCTCCCATTGCTGCTGTCTCCATCGCCACACTGTGCCATGTGCCACTATCAGGTCTCCTCACACTGCTGGTGGGTTCCATTTTGTCATAGGGTGCTGGCAGATTACGGGCCTCCCATTGCTGCTGCCAGCCCGTAATCTGCCATGGGCCCCTGTACCGCCTCCTCATGCTGCTGCCAGGCCCGTAATCTGTCATGGGTCCCTGTACGGCCTCCCATTGCTGCTGTCTCCATCGCCACACTCTGCCATGTGCCACTTTCAGGTCTCCTCACACTGCTGGTGGGTTCCATTTTGTCATAGGGTGCTGGCAGATTACGGGCCTCCCATTGCTGCTGCCAGGCCCGTAATCTGTCATGGGCCCCTGTACCGCCTCCTCATGCTGCTGCCAGGTCCAGAGTGTGTCATGGTCCCTGTACGGCCTCCCATTGCTGCTGTCTCCATCGCCACACTCTGCCATGTGCCACTTTCAGGTCTTCTCACACTGCTGGTGGGTTCCATTTTGTCATAGGGTGCTGGCAGATTACGGGCCTCCCATTGCTGCTGCCAGGCCCGTAATCTGCCATGGGCCCCCGTACCGACTCCTCATGCTGTGACGTTGCAACAAGGTGGAATTCAACCCTACATATGTTAGACCGCCTTTACGAACAGCGAAAGGCCATCACCGATTTCCTGATGTTACAAGCGGATAAAGGTGCTCCCCTGTGTAACTTAGATGTCAGCCATTGGCAGCCTATGCGTGACACCTGCCGCTTGCTCAGGCCCTTTGAGGAGGCCACGCTATTCGTGAGTCGGCAGGACTATGGGATGAACGACGTCATTCCTCTGTTGCACGTCCTGGAACAAATGCTGTTAACAATGGCTGGTCAGAGGGCGGTAGACGTGGCGCACAGATCTCAACGCCACATTACCCCTGTGGGGGCAGGACAGGAAGAAGTGGAGGAGGTAGAGGAGGACATTGGTGCTCAGGAATTATTGAGTGAAATGGGTGGTTTTTCCACTCAGCGGACAGGAGTGGAGGAGCAGGAGCATCTGGTAGAGGAGGAGGAGGAGACAGAGGACCCAGACGCACCGTGGCAGTATGCTGTGGAGATGGAGGCAGGGAGTCCCTCGCATTCCTTGGCACAAATGGCCCATAGCATGCTCGGTTGCTTGCGTAGCGACAGCCGAATAATAACCATCAGACAGAGGGATGACTTTTGGCTGTCCACCTTGTTGGACCCTCGCTACCATTCAACAATGGTGGCCTTTTTCACACCTGCTGAGAGGGAGGCCAAAATAACGTACTATAAAAACCACCTATGTAGTCAGTTGGTCTCTGCCTTTCTGCGCCAACGTCCATCCTCAGACACTGTGGGCCCTGTGTGCTCGCGTTCCGCTGCCATGGCAGCAGGGGAGGGGTGGGGTGGTAGGAGCAGTGGCAGCTCCACCAGCAGCGGCTGCCTCAGTCTGCAGTCGATGATGAGTAGCTTTCTTCACCAGCGCAGTGAGGAAACTACTAACCAGCCGCAGCAGCAGCAGCATCAGGTGGACCTGGAGCAGGACCTCAAACAACAGGCTTGGGCCTACTTGGACAGCACCCTGCCAACCGAGGTAGACAATCCCCTTGACTACTGGGCAACGAAACTTGACCTTTGGCCCCAACTAGCTGAATTTGCCCTTGAAAGGCTGTCATGCCCGGCCAGTAGCGTGGCATCGGAGCGCGTGTTTAGTGCGGCAGGAGGTATTGTAACTCCGCGGAGGACACGACTGTCCACCCAAAGTGTGGAGAGACTCACGTTTGTGAAAATGAATCAGGCGTGGATTAGTCTGGATTTCAAACCACCAGTTCCTGACACAACTGACTAAATCCGCCATGAATCATGCCCCAAAACATGTTATTATTTTTAACATAGGCCTCTGTATGGCCTTCAATTTAAGCTGCTTACGCTTCGCCACTCTGCCATGGGCCCCTGTACCGCCTCCTCTTGCTGCTGCCAGGTCCAGAGTGTCTCATGGGTCCCTGTACGGCCTCCCATTGCTGCTGTCTCCATCGCCACACTCTGCCATGTGCCACTTTCAGGTCTCCTCACACTGCTGGTGGGTTCCATTTTGTCATAGGGTGCTGGCAGATTACGGGCCTCCCATTGCTGCTGCCAGGCCCGTAATCTGCCATGGGCCCCCGTACCGACTCCTCATGCTGCTGCCAGGTCCAGAGTGTCTCATGGGTCCCTGTACGGCCTCCCATTGCTCCTGTCTCCATCGCCACACTGTGCCATGTGCCACTTTCAGGTCTCCTCCCATTGCTGCTGCCAGGCCCGTAATCTGCCATGGGCCCCCGTACCGACTCCTCATGCTGCTGCCAGGCCCGTAATCTGTCATGGGCCCCTGTACCGCCTCCTCATGCTGCTGCCAGGTCCAGAGTGTGTCATGGGTCCCTGTACGCCTCCCATTGCTGCTGTCTCCATCGCCACACTCTGCCATGTGCCACTTTCAGGTCTCCTCACACTGCTGGTGGGTTCCATTTTGTCATAGGGTGCTGTATGGCCTCCCATTGCTGCTGCCTCCACCGCCACACTGTGGCTCCACACTCTGGTTTTGGCCCCGTGACTGCCCAAATGAGTGAAGTGTGCGGTGATTCTAAGATCGACGGCACTCATCTGCATGTCATACTGACTGACAGTATTATTTCTCTTCCCCAGCAGACTCCAAGGGCATTTAAATTAAAGGTACAGTGTTCTGCACTAATATAAAGGCTCTTGAAGCCTAGAAACACCCTTTTTATAAGTTAAATTCGCAGCGAATATATTCGACTCGAATCGAATTTATTCCGCGAATTCGCCGAATCAGCCGAATCAGCCGAATCGAATTTTTGAATACTTCGCTCATCTCTAATCACAATCAGCACAAATAACCTGAAGGAGACAGACTAGACAAGAGGAAAGAAAGGAGACAAACAAACTGACACCAACAAAGGGGGGGGGGCGCTCCAGCAGCAGAGAAAAGAAAAAAAAAAAAGAAAAATAAGCTGGTATATAAGTTTTATATCGACAAGAGGGACTGGTCGAATCTTGACGGTTGAGCTATATCAAGCCACGGACGCCATGTCTGTAAAAATTTTGTATGGGTGTCTAACAGTATAGCTGTCAACTTTTCGTTGACCATTATAAAGTTCATCCGGTTTTTGACAGCCTCGAAGCTGAGGAGGGGAGTCTTCCAAGCTCTTGCAATCGTCAGCTCGGTGGCCATGAACAAGTGCGATGCCAGCTGCCGTTCAGGATGAAGTAGGCCCACTAATGGTTTAAATAACAGCGCTTCGTACGGGTTGCGTTTAATGTCTGTGTGGAACATAGTGCAGGGAAGGGCATAAACTCTGATCCACAATCTGCACACCTTGGAGCAAGTCCACGAAATATGGACCATGGTACCCGTCTGCTGACAACTTCGAAAGCAAGTCGGGGAATATGTGGGATTAAAACGAGCCAGACGAGCAGGCGTGTAATACCATCTATAAATGGGCGGCACAGTGGCTTAGTGGTTAGCACGTCTGCCTTGCAGTAAATAGGTCATAGGTTCAATTCCCGACCATGGCACCTCCTACATGGAGTTTGCATGTTCTCCCTGTGCTTGCGTGGGTTTCCTCCGGATGCTCCGGTTTCCTCCCACCCTCCAAAGACATGCTGGTAGGTTAATTGGATCCTGTCTAAATTGGCCCTAATATGTGTATGTATGAATGTGAGTTAGGGATCTTAGATTGTACGCCCCTTGAGGGTTAGGGACTGATGTTAATGTTCATAACACTGCCCCTGACTACCTCACCAACCTGATCCCCAAGTACCACCCTACCCGTACCCTTCGCTCCTCACAGGACCTCCTTCTATCCTGCTCCCTGGTCTCTTCCTCCCATGCACGACTGCAGGACTTCTCCAGGTCCTCCCCTATCCTGTGGAACTCACTGCCCCAATCCTTCCGACTGTCGCCTTCCCTCCCCACATTCAGGCGCTCCCTCAAAACCCATCTCTTCAGGGAAGCCTACCCCACCCTCACCTAACGGCCATTCTCCCTCATTCCTCCCCCACTTCATCCCCTTCAGCCACTTCATTCCCCTCAGCTACTTCCTATTGTTCCACTACCCCCCTCCCTCCTAGATTGTAAGCTTGACAGAGTAGGGCCCTCGTACCCTGTCTGTTTTTGTCCTACTGTGCCATGTATTGTCCCCCCTATTATACAGCGCTGAGCAAACCCTTTGGCGCTATATAAACTCAATGTAATAATAATAATATTAGAAATAATGGAGGAATAGACCAGGGAAATTAAGCCCGGAGCATGGGGTCTATGTCTACATTGACTTTCAAAGGGGGTCAACCTGTAGGGTCCCGAACGTGTCTGTATTAAAGTACTGATAAAGTGGCGGAGTTGAAGGTATCCAAAATGTTCCCGCAATGGGATATTGTAAGAAGAGCGCAGAGTTTCAAAGGCGAGTATCTGAGTGGGAGAGAGCATGGAATGAATATCATGGAAGCCATTTGCTTGCCACAAGCAAACTGTCCAGGATTGTCACGACCTGGGGGAAATAATGGATTGTGTAGCAACCGTAGTAACGGTAGATAAGCAGAAATGAGGCCAGCAGAATATTTAATGGTGTCCCAAAAACGGAGCGTTAGCGTCAATGTCGGACTAAGGGATGAGGGTCGATGAGAAGAAGGAAGGCATGGTAAAGAAGAGAGTGGAATCGGGTGGGAGTCCATGAAGTCTACAGTAGCCCACAAGGGAAAATGGTGAGATGCATGGAGGTGGTCTAAGGAGGCAATATTGGCCGCCAGATAGTAAGACTGAAGGTTCGGGACAGATAACCCACCCTCGGTCTTACGCGCAAATAAGATTTGTTTACTGATTCTGGGTCGAGAGGAGCTCCAGATGAGACAGGAGTTTTTGCTGGTGAATACGCAGTATATGTGAAGGAACAGTATGTGAAGGAACAGGGACTGGTAAAACTCGAAACACGAATCTATGTGTTTTCAATGCATGTGCATGTATTTATGTACTGTGTTTCCTATCCCTATACTATACAACTCAAGTAGCCTTCTCTCCACTCACAGGTTACTGACAGTCAATAAAGCTGGCCATAGATAGAGCAATTTTCTTTCCTGCAACCACAGGTCAGTGTTGAGAGGGGAATCCCTCCCATGGTGCCATTGTGTTCTCCTGTCGGGGGGGGGGGAGCTGCCCCTGCCGGGAGAACACAGTAATTACAGCTAGTGCCTGTGATATCCGCTGGCAATAATCGCATGTAAAATATGACAGGCTTGTTGTAACTTGGGTACATTCAGCCTAACCATACATGGTTCGAATCTCGGCCAGTCCCTGATGAACTGGCCGAGATTCAAACCATCTATGGCCAGCTTAACAGTGGTGGGGTATCTGATTGACTGATCTGATGATCTCTTTTGCTACATCAATTAAAATAATAATTTGTGTACATCTTCTTTTTAGTGGCAGCAAACTAAGCAGGTTTCTTTTGAAGAAAATTCACTATAGCATTATAACGTTTTCCATTGTGTACAGTTAGACATTGCCTTACAACCCTGAAGTTCCTCTTTTAACAGGCCTAACTGGTAAGGAAGTTTATCACAACAAAGACCTAGGTAGCATATGTCTAAGGTGTCCCAAAACATGAGCCAAAGAAATTCCTACCACCTCATTAATATACGTCCAAAATAAATTTTGCAGACATACTGTGCTTCCAATCATACAAATACCACAAAAACAGTGATGTGTGGCATTTTGACACTAGGCTGGTTGCTTCTCTAAAACTAAAAGCTTCCAAAGCCAGAGAAAGATGTAAAATTAGTAATAAGTAGGGGGCAAAATGTGCAGGATCAAAGGTGCCCCTTATCAGGGTTTGAAAAAAAGATTGCAATGGACTTAAAATGAACCTGAATTCAAAACAGATTTGTTATGTTATAGGGATCTTCTAAAAAATGCTAATTGTGCCTAAGCAGTACCCTGGAAAATTAACCCTTTGTCTTGAAATCCTTCTGAAAAATAGCAGAGCACTTCCTAATGGTGCTTAAACACTCTTGTGGTTAACCACTTGCCCTCCAGAGGATTTACCCCCCCTTCCTGACCAGGCCATTTTTTGCGTTACGGCGCTGCATTACTTTAACTGGCAACTGCGCGGTCATGCAACTTTGCACCCAAATTAAATTTACGTCGCTTTTTTTTGAATTCTTTCTTTTGGGGGTATTTGATCGCCTGTGCATTTTTTATTTTTTGCGCTATAAAAAAAAGTCTGACAATTTTCAGAAAAAAACATATTTTTGACTTTTTGCTATTAAACATGTCCAGTAAAAAAAAATTGTAAAAATCTAATTTCGTCATAAATGTACACCAAAATGTATTCTGCTGTCTTTGCTAAAAAAATCCCAATATGTGTAAATTAATTGGTTTGCGCGAAAGTTATAGCGTTTACAAATGGAGGTATATATACTTATTATTTTTCCATTTTTACTAGTAATGGCGGTGATCAGTGACTTATAGTAGGACTACGGGACTGCGGCGGACATTCTGGCACTGGGGGGAACTGACTTGGTGTCACTGACATCCCCAGTGACACCAATACAGTTATCAGTGCTAAAAAAAAAAAGCACTGACACTGTACTAATGGCAGTCGACAGAAAGGGGTTAACATGAGGGGCGATCAAAGGGTTAACTGTGTGCTGGGAGTGTTTTACTAGGGGGCACAACATCATCTCTAAGACACATTTTAAACCCTCGGCAGGCAATTCAAATTTGCAAGCCAACAGCCATCACCATCCGAGTTGGTTCAAAAATGTACCTTTGGGGTAATTTTGCCGGCTCAAAAGAACTTGCACGCGTCTTGAGGATTGCACAGAGCATCATCCTCATGAAGAAGTTTTTGGAGAAAAGCGACCATTGAGCAAGCATATGAAAAATAAAGGGCTCAGTATCCCACTGGTACTCACTTGGTAGCCACCTTTGAAGCACCCCAAAGGAGGGAGCAACATGCAAAACGCATTGCTTTTTGCACTCGATATAATCCAAAAGCTTTCCACATTAAAAGGGTCCTTAATAAGTATTGGGGCATTCTACATCAGGACCCTTTTCTCTCCAATGTCATCTCAGGAAATCCGGAGGTTATCTTTTGGAAACCTAAGGACTTCAGGAGCTTCATAGCCACCAATAGGGTCACGTGTGTCCAGACAACTTTGGCGTCCTCTTGGAGCACGCTATTCGATCAAAAAGCCAGCTATAGATGTGGAATAGGAAACTGTGGATGCTGCCAATTTATGTGGCATAGGAAAAATGAGGTGATGGGTAATTATGGTATTTCCTATAAGGTTAAACAATTAATTAATTGTAGCTTACAATATGTTATATATTTGTCTCATTTGCCCTTGCGGCCTTTTGCACGTGGGCTGCACGTCCCGTACACTGTGTATTAGATTTGGAGAACACAAAAGAAACATCAAACATGTTCGTGAGGGGCATTTCATTACCAACCACTTTCAAGAAAAACTCAATAACAGTCCAATGGGTCCTAGGGTTTTTGGGCTAGAAAGCATTCCTAGAGACAGTGACACTGGCAGATGTTTTCATAGATTGTCAGAGAGAGACCTTTTGGATTCACTGTCTGGACACTCTGTCACCTAGAGGGCTTAATGAAGGGCTAGATATAAATGCTCTGATCTATTGAATATATATACTGGTTCCTCTATTACACATATTGGTG